TAAGAGTTTCCAAAGGTTTGACTAGCTTTGAACTGTCATCCGGGTGAACCTCCCCGATGATGTACGTCTTGGACATCTCCCAAGCATCTGTGGAGTGCCCAACTCCCTCGAAGTTCTCAGTAGCATCTCCACCCGCTTGCTCCCGTAAGACTTCTTCCCCACCAGGATGCTCCTCCAGGAACTTGACCAGGTCATACACTTTGTGATGCAGCATGAGCCAGGTGCTCTTGCTGTGGTTGTGCTTCTGGATCTCCTCTATGGTGCAGTACTTTGTGGTCTTATCCGAAGATTCAGCTATCTCAGAATCGTCAGCCCATGAACTCGTGCATGAACTCCAGCCAGCTGCAACAGTGCAACTCGGGGACTGGCCCACTTCCTTTTTTATTACCATTGGCTCCTGTTCATATGGTACTTCCTGAAATTTTTCAGTGTCAATCAATTCTTTCTGGTACAGTGAGATTCTGTGCATTCCCTCCATCTTCTTTTGATTTCTGGCTTATTTAATATATTAGCCATAGCATCTTTCAACATTGTGACATGAGGCTTAAATTGTGAGTGAGCCTTTACCTTGGCAAAGTTGGATCCTGGTGGGTGTTTGTGATTTACTTTAAAGCTAGGGTAAACCATTCGGACATTTTTAAATTGTGTTAGCAATCAAGTATAAGCTAATTAACGGTTTATAATCTCTCTTACAATCAGCTTGGATGGGAAGTCTGTGTGGGCAAACAGTAGCTGGAGGGAGGGCCTTGGTATTTAAAAATTGGTCTGGTCCTACCTGTGAGTGAGCCTTTAGCTTGGTGAAGTTGGATCCTGGTGGGTGTGTGTGATTTACTCGAAAGCTGGATTAAATTGTTCAGATGTTTCTAAATTGTGTTAGCAATGAAATATAAGCTATATCTATGTCTAATACAAGAGAAGGAAATAAAGGCATCCAGAGATGGTTAAATTAGCGCATTAACAACGAGAGAGCTCTGTTGGCCTAGTATTTAGAAAGTTATGCTACCAAGCCAAAGGTGGGTGATATTAATCTGTAGCCCCCTGGGTTTAGTTGTTTTTGGTCAAACATTCTTCTAAGTGGTATAGCACTGGTCTGTCCATTAGCTGTACAGAGGTAACTCATGGTTGCTATGGTGCTAAACATCGACATGGGTGTGTCAAATGCAATAATGAACAGTCTTTGGTGGAGCTTCCCGAGTAAATCAAGCTTGGAAGCAGGAGTAGCATCCACTTCTGAAACAGCTTGCTTTCAGAAACTCTATGAACATAGAGAAATGATGAAAGTTATACAAGTGTTCATATCTTTCATTCATAGGGTCACTATGAGTTGTCTACAACTTGACAGCACCTAGCAACAGCAACATATGTAGATTATATGATAGTATACACAGAAAACTTCAAAGATGCAACAAAAGCCTGTTATAGCTAGTAGGCCAATTTAGTAGTGTCAGGGTATAAAATCAATATAAAAAAAATCAGGGATTTCTCTACAGTAACAAAGGGAACTCGGAAGGAAACCAAGAAAGCAATACCATTTACAATAGCCAACCACAAATTGAGATACTTGGGAGTGAACTTAACTAGAGATACAAAAGCCCTATACAAAGAAAACTGCAGAGCATTTCTGCAAGACACAATAAAAGACCTAAAGAAATGGGAAAATGTGTCCTGTTCATAGATAAGAAGACTCAATATTGTGAAAACAATCCTACCAAAAGCAATCTACATGTTCAAGGCAATCCCAATCAAGATACCAAATTTATCTTTCAAGGAAATTGAAAGGGAAATTGTCAAATTTGGAGGCAAGAGACCTTGAATAAGAAAAACACTTCTGAGAAATAAAAATGAAGTGGGAGACATAGCACTCTCTGACCTCAAAAACAGCAGTAGTAACCAAATCAGCATGGTACTGGTACAATGACAGGCATGTAGATCAGTGAAACAGAAATGAGAACCTAAAAATAGACCCAGCTATCTATGGTAAATTGATATTTGATAAGGAAATAAAACCTATGGGTGTGACAAAACTGGACTGCTGGAGAAGGATGGGCAATCTTCTCCTTTGCGATTAAACTGCCTCTGAAAACCCGGAGGTGACTATTTCCTACTCAACACACAATAGATAACTAAGTATGTCAGTGGTGCCAATCTCTTTCCAGAAATCAGGACCTGTGAATGTGCTCCTTAACTAGAGATCCTAGCTCAAATCTTCACAGCACTGACATGAGCAAAACTTGGAATTTCTCTACAACCCCTCCCCCCCCAAGATATTTCTCTAGTGTCTGTATAGTAATCACCTTAAGATTCTCCAGTTTCCAACGCAAGACCAGTAAGAAGCAAGCTCTGGGCTTGGGATCTGATCTGGTTAGTGCAAAGCTGAAGTTCTGCTGCTACTCCCTGCAAAACTAATCTTGGTATACGGTTCAGAGTGTCAAAATTTTATTATAATTGTAAACAACAAACACTCTGGAGGTCTAGTGGGAAGGAGTTTCACTATTACACAATGGCAAGTAGTTTGAGTTCACCAGCTGCTCCATGGGCAAAAGAGACAAGCACCTCCTGTGAAAGTTAAAGCCTCTAAAAACCTGGCGGCTCAGCGATGGGTGAGTACCCACTCAACAGCACATAACATCAAGGAGAAAAGGGACATGAGCTTCCCAAATCTGTTTCTCCATGTTGGAGACTGTAGGGGCTTATGTAGGGAAGGGAGAGCGGGAGTGTGAGAGGTTTATACAGTAGAGTCTTTTGTTCTGAGGAACTCTGGACTGGAACTATATCAGTTTTATTTTGTCAATATTCTGAGACAGTTGGTGCTATTCTTATTTTGACTTAAGGAGATTACTCAGAGTCATAGAGTACAAGAACTGTCCAAAAAGGACAGCAAAAGGATATCAAGAAGACAGATTCTCACCAGCCTCAGGATGAATGGTGAAGAGATTGATTGTTCATAGCTTTAGTTTGCTTGGCTCCACAGTCAACACTCTTGGCACCAACAACCAGGAAATGAAAAGATATATTGCGATGGGAAAGTCTGTGAGGGAACTCTCCAAAGTACTATAGAGCAATGGTGTCACTCTGGAGATGAAGGTGTGCCTGATACAGGCCATGGTCTTCACAGTCACTTGTTATGCATCAGAGAGTTGGACAATGACTAGGGAGGATAGAAGGAAAATTGATGCCTTTGAACTGTGGTGCTGGAGAAGAGTATTAAGGGTATGGACTGCTAAGAAAACAGATTCATCCTGGAGAGGGTTAAACCAGACTGCTCCTTGGAGACAAGGATTCTGAGGCTTCGTCTGACATACTTTGGACATGTTGTAAGGACGACCAGTCCTTGGAGAGGGACATCATGCTTGGGAGGGCTGAGGGACAGCCCAGAAAGGGAAGACCCTCTGAGATGGATTCAGTGACTAGGATAATCGGGGTGGGTGTATCAGAGACAGTGAGATGGGCACAAGACAGAGCAGGGTTTAGGGCTGTTGTACGTAGGGTCACTATGAGTCATGACTCGACGGCACGTAACATGAGAAAGTCTACTTCCTCCCTTACATTAGTGCAGAACTATTCATTGCTGAGTGCCCTTTGGAGGCAAAGATGGCAAAACTTTACCTAACATACTTTGAGCATGTTTTTAAGAAGGGCCATTCCTTGGAACATGGCATCATGCTTAGAAATATAGATGTTTCAGCCAGGATGACCTTCAATGAGATGCACTGACATAGTGACTGCATAATTGAGTCCGATTAGGTCAGAAATCAGGGAGGCATTCAAATCTGATGTTCAAGGAGTTACTATGAGCTGTCGATTTGATGGCACTTTCCATTATAAGGTGCTAGTTTTCTACTTCAGTTTCAATCTCAAATTGACAAACTTTACACCATGATGACTCCATTTAACTCTGGACGAAAAGGCAGATACTATCCACGAGTTGTACCACCTCATTTAGCAGAATGTACCTTTATTTTTTCCTTTACTGCTATTTAATATTGTTAACTGCATTATTACATTCTCAGTGTAAAAGATCAAGCAATGCAGTAGCACAGGAAGTAAAACGTGGAAATAACTTGCTATAGCTATTCATATTTCATCTCCTACCTTGTTCAAATAAACTTATTTCCTACCACTCACTGAGTGAAGCAGCTTCTCTATGACCTTCTGCCATTTAGCTCAGTTCTTGGGCAAAACTTCACCTAGTGCTAAGGCATGTGAAATTGTACCTGCCCATAGTACCTGCCAGTGCTTCTGTTGTACAAAAGTTACAAATACACTTCCAGGTCAGACACAGCTTTACTCATGTTTGTATTTTGCTGCTATGGCTGAGATGATCTGGAAATATTGCCTTAAGCTTTGCGTGAAAAAGATGACAGAACTGTTGTGTTAAGCTGTCATTTCTTTTAATCTAATTTTTAGGTTTTTTTATGCTTCACCAGAAAACTCTGGTGGTCTAGTGGGTAAAGAGTTGTGCTGCCAACTCAAATGCAGGTGGTTTGAAGCCACCAGATATTTCCTGGGAGAAAGATGAGAAATCCCCTCTGATGCTATTTACAGCCTCTGAAAACCCCTGGAGTGCTATGAGTTGGTTACAACTTGATGGCAATGAATGAGACTGTTTCTAAAATATGCTTATTTGTTAAGTAAAATGTTGGCAGCAGAGTCCACTTGGTAGTACCTCAGAAGAAAGGCCTGTGGTTTATAGAAAACTCTTCTATTCTGACTCAAGGAGTATGCCATCGGTTGGAATTCAATCAAATCGACATCTGTTTTTAAAAACATTTATAGCATGTAAATAATCCACAAAAAGACATTTCTCAAGAACCATTTTTAGTCATTTTTTTTTTTTACCAATTGTACTTTATTTTCTTACAATCATGGAGAAAATAAGAATTCACAGAATTAGTAGAGATTAAATGTGTGCTTGGTAGGGATGTTAACAAGTGTTAAATGCCCTGTTCTTTAACCAGGACAAGAACAGTGGTGCCCGAGGATGGTGCTATAAGATGAGCTCACCACTGCTTAATCTTTTTCTCACTAACAAACTGTCCGTGAGGACCCTCAGCATCTGGGGGCAAAAGGGCCAAGTACACGGGGGTCTCCGCTCCTTCTTCTGGGCTTTTGGTGGCATTTGGCCCTGCCATGTCGGTTCTCACCCAGCCTGGGCAGCAGGCATTCAGGAGTATCTTGTCACCTTCCCTCTGTGCACTCAGATTCCTGGCTTGGATCCTGGACAGGACAGTGACCCCGATCTTGGACACGCCATACGCAGTATTGGGCCAGCCCTCCTTCTGGTGCACTCCCTTCTTTGTATCTTCCACAAACTTGTTCATGAGCGCCACCAGCTCCTCCTCTGTGATGGTGTCACTGCGGAACTTCTGCTGCAGCTCTGGGCTACAGGACTTAAGGGCAGAGAAGCTCACCATGCTTGATACATTCACCACTCTGCCTGAAACACAACACACATCATTTTGTAGAAAGACATACACAGGAAAGATAAGCACTTAAACATCAAGACTGCCAAGCTTATACTGGGCTTTTCTTCCTACCAAATAGTAACATGCTGACAAGCTTCATTTAAACACACACACACAAAATCCTAACATTACCTTTTGGGATGATAAAGTTCAGATTTAAGGTAGTGCAGAAGGTTTTACACTCCCATCTATGTCGAATCTACATTAAGGCACTGAATTGTAGACTGACAACTGTTTGTGGAGTGACTGACCCCTAAGTCCTGGAAACATTCCTGAGGGACACCCAGAATCAGGCCTTCACTCCCCAAATTATCAGTGTCTGCCAGGAGAAGCCAAGTCAACTGGGCTAACAAGGGATACTCGTAAAAGTATCTTGAGAAACAAAACGCAAAGATTATTTGAAACCAGGCAGAGGAGCCAAGTTTACATAGGCTGTCTGAAATTTTAATTCCATCCCATTCCTTGTATTTCTTATTCTAAGATTATGTGCCAAGACTTCTGGATTCTGAGTTTTCATTACATACAGAAATAAATCTGCCTTATGGAGCCCTCTATACTTGGACCAGGAGGCAGATGTCAGAACAGAGCAAGGAAACACTGCATGGTTCAAAATTGGGAAGGGTGTACGCCAGGGATGTGTCCTATCTCCACACCTTTTCAATCTATCTGCAGAACAGATCATACAGGAGCCTGGGCTCTATGAGGAGGAATATGGCTTCAGGATTTGGGGAAGACTCATCAACAACCTGTGTTATGCAGATGATACAACCTTGCTTGCTGAAACTGAGGAGAATCTGAAGTGCTTGCTGCAGAAGGTCAAGGACTGCAGCCTTAAATATGGATTGAAGTTCAACATCAAGAAAACAGATTTTCACTACTGGGCTGACTGGCAGCATCATGATAGAAAATAAAATGATTGAGACTGTTAACTGCTTTAGTTTGCTTGGCTCCACAATCAACACTCTTGGTACTAGCAGCCAGGAAATCAAAAGACAACATGCATTGGGAAAGTCTGCTGTCAGGGACCTTTCCAGAGCACTAAAAAACAACAAATTAAGTCTGGAGACTAAGGTGTGCCTGATCCAGGCCATAGTCTTGCAATTACTTGCTATGCATCAGAAAGCTGGACAATGACTAGGGATGATAGGAGAACTGATGCCTTCGAGCTGTGGTTACTGGAGAAGTGTACTGAATATACCATGGACCACTAGGAGAACCACTTTGTCCTGGAGAGGGTAAAGCCAGGCTGCTCCTTGGAGGCAAGGACATATTATGAATATGCTGCAAGGCGGGACTAGTCCTTGGAGCGGGACATCCCAAGAGAAGACCCTTGATGAGATGGATTGACTCAGTGACTAGGGTAATGGGGATATGTGTGTCAGAGACAATAAGGTTGGCTCAGGATAAGAGCAGGGTTCAGAGCTGTTGTATACAGGGTTGCTATGAGTCACAAGCGACTGAACGGCACATAACTGGGTTTCCCTGTGGTGCCTGTGAGGCCACTGTAATAAGTAAGATGGGATCTCAATCAAGGGGAAGTTCCCTTTTATCATGTTACATTGGATTATACTGGACTACTAGGAAAGATAAGCTTTACTTGAAGTTTTCTCAGTAAAGAATGAGAACTGATGTACAGGGAGGAACAATTCCCCTGGAAGTCATAGGACCTAGGCCCAACTCTCAAGCTTTGCCTTGACAGATTTTATACTTCTCTCAATAGTGAGAAAATAAGACAAAATGCCCAGCACACAGCATCACACAATGTCTGTAACACCCACCCTTGAAATAATCAAAGTAGTATGAAGTAGATGTTATAGATTGAGCTATTTCTCAAAAATGTCAAGTCCTGTCTCTATCTTGTTTGAAAATAAGGGCTTTGTCATGTAAACAAAATCTTAGCCTTGTAGGAGGAATCTCACATATCAGTTATGAAAAGAGTGTAACATCCATACAGAACATACAGGTGAAAGACAGATACCATGGAAGGGCCCACCTACAGCAAAGCAATGTTAAAGATGCTCACCTGACATTAGAAGCTAGGAGAGAGATTTCGGAGCACAGAACTGTGAAAAAAAGTCCCTTTATGTCCAAGCCACTCACTGGTATTTGTACATATGCATCAACAGAACAGTAAGACAGCAGATCTCTGTCGTTGTTGTTATGTGCCCTCGAGTCGTTTCCGACTCATAGCGACCCTATGCACAACAGCCCTAAACCCTGTTCTATCCTGCGCCAACCGCACTGCCTCTGACACACCCACCCCGATTACTCCAGTCACCGAATCAATCCATCTCGTAGAGGGTCTTCCCCTCCTGCACCTTCCCTCCCCGCTCCCAAGCATGATGTCCCTCTCCAAGGACCCGTCCCTCCTGGCAACATATTCAAAGTATGTCAGATGAAGCCCCAGAATCCTTGCCTCCAAGGGGTAGCTTGGTTTAATCCTCTCCAAGATGAATCTGTTTGTTTTCCTGGCAGTCCAGGGTACATTCAGTACCCTTCTCCAGCACCACAGCTCAAAAGCATCCACTCTCCTTCTGTCCTCCCTAGTCATTGTCCAACTCTCTGATGCATAACAAGCGATTGCAAATACCATGACCTGTATCAGGTGCACCTTAGTCTCCAGAGAGACACTGTTGCTCCTGAGTACCTTAGGTCCCTAACAGCAGACTTTCCCATCGCAGATCTCTGTACTGCCAAAATTATTTTTCTAATCCTCTTCATCCCAGGAGTGAACAGTAACACCTTGCTAAGACTGCCAGAGATGGCAAAAAACAGTGGCAGAGAGAAGACTCAAGACATGGGCACAGTGGACTTTGGAGCTAAAGGACTAAGAATGGGATGTATTTTTGCCAAGGAGCGAAATCTGCCAAACCAGGCAGCTAGAACTGCTTGCTGGCAGGATGGACACTTAGATTTGCAGAGTGATGTTAACACTTGCCAAAAAGTCAGGGCAAAGGCCAAGGGGCTTTAAGACAGCAGCAGATTAGACAGATATCTTTAGCCTCCACTGAAAGAAGGCTTGTCTAGATTGGAAGAACTCTATCCTGAGATAAGTTTCCATTAAACTCTTGGCTTTCCTCAGGCAAAAGGAGTTGTTTACATAGAGGCTGACTTAGCAAATCCGTAAACTCCCTCATTCCTCACTCTCAGACCAAGCCCCAGCACAAGAACTAATCTCAGTCAAGTGAGCAAAATCGACCAGGCGGAAGAGTCTAAAACCAATGTGTACAGAAGGGACCGTGGTGGCACAAGAAGTGTGCCGCCCCCAAGAATATATTTATGTTGAAGTCATATTGGTATCTGTGAATAAGACTTTGTTAGGAAATAGGTTGTGGAAGCTGTTTGCAGTGAAGCTGACTTTAACCCACAGTGGAGGAGGGATAGGTCCTTATCAAAGACAAACTGCAGCTAGGCGACAATGGAGTTTTACTGCAGCTGTAAGCCACGGCACACCTGGGGCTACCAGGTAATAGGAACGATGAACACCATTCCCTGTAGCCTTTGGAGAGAAGACTATGCTGACACCTGAATTCAGACTCAGCTTCCAGAACTGTGACAAAGTAACTCTGCTCTTATAAGCGACCAAGGTGTGCTGCTTTGTGGAGACCGCCTTCTGACACAAACTCAAGAGCTCTAGACCCTGACTGCAAGGGGCAGTGTGAGTCAAGTAATTAGCTGACATTTGAAGAGTCACCTTTCAGGGTCTTAATGAGCCAGCCTTAGAGGGAGTAGAATCTTAAAGGCAGACTAGTCAGCAAGGGAGGAGTGGCAAGTGCATACATAGATGGCTCTACACTGTGAGATTCTCTCTGGAAGACTGTATGTCTGCAGTCAGCTCCTGGGTTAGTGGGGACATTACCTCTGACTGAGGTGCTTGCCTCTAACTAGGCACCTGTTACACAAACGTGTCCAGCATAGGCCATTGCCACATATGGAGCAGTGTGTGACTATCCTTGGGTGTTCCAGTTTGGAAGAGAGAATTTCTTTTTAACAGTCTGATAACTTGACTGTACTCATCCCTTAGACTAACAAAGACAACATTCCTATCCAGGTGGTCTAGCCTAGGCTCCTCTGAAGCCACAGTGTCTCTAAGGCAGCAGACAACATACTTGCTCCCTGTGCCATATTAAAAATGACACGGTCCTGACGTCAGGGAGAATGGAGAAAGGGCAGGGGCAGGAAGAGCACTGCAAGTCACCTGGTGACTGGTGATGCTGGTGGAAAGTCACGCTTCAAGGAAGAACTTGCGAAGGGACAGGAGTGGGAGGCAGGGGGAGATTGCACCTGCGTATACATTTGCTGTCTAGACTATACTTGCAGGGCTGTTTTCTCCACTTGCCACCACCAACACAATGTCTCTGAGGCAGCAGACAACTTTAAACCAGTCAAAGAAACAGGACAAAATGGAAGAAAATATAGAATTGGAATGTCTTTCAGAGGAAGAAACACTATTGGAATTTCCTGTAAGGAATTCAAAAGGAGGATAGTTAATAGTATTCTACACATTGTCTAAAACACAGAAAACATTAACACTTTTTAAAAATTATGTAAAACCAAGTTTGTTGTTGTTATGTGCCGTCGAGTCGTTTGTGACTCATAGCGACCCTATGCACAACAGCCCTAAACCCTGCTCTATCCTGCACCAACCGCACTGCCTCTGACACGCCCATCCCGATTATCCCAGTCACCAAATCAATCCATCTCATAGAGGGTCCTCCCCTCCTGCGCTGTCCCTCCACCCTCCCAAGCATGATGTCCCTTTCCAAGGACCCGTCCCTCCTGGCAACATGTCCAAAGTATGTCAGACGAAGCCCCAGAATCCTTGCCTCCAAGGAGTAGCTTGGTTTAATCCTCTCCAAGATGAATCTGTTTCTTTTCCTGGCAGTCCAGGGTATATTCAGTACCCTTCTCCAGCACCACAGCTCAAAGGCATCAACTCTCCTTCTGTCCTCCCTAGTCATTGTCCAACTCT